CAACCAACTGAGCCACCCAGGTGCCCCTAGTAGAGTTTTATTATATATATTTCTGGAGGTGTATCAAAATCTTTGTGGACAGAGGAAGGAGCCTGTGTTATTTGAAAGAGCTGCCACTAGGGCGCTTGGGTGGCTGTTGGTTAAGCATCTGACTTCAGCCCAGATCATGATCTCACAGTTCATGAGTTTGAGCCCCACGTTAGGCTCTGTGCTGACAGCTCAGAGCCTGGAGTCTGCTTCGGATTCAGTCTCCCTCTCTCTGCTCCTTCCCCAGCTCACACTCTGTCTCTCCCTCTCTCTCAAAAATAAACAAACATTAAGAAGAAAGAAAGAAAGAAAGAAAGAAAGAAAGAAAGAAAGAAAGAAAGGGCTGCCAGAAACTCTAAAAGAGAGAATCATAGTTAATGACTGTGAGCTGAACCCCTGAACAAATAAATGAGTGGAGTCCATGGTCAGAGAAAGTGTTACCAATCTGGTTTTCAGAAGAGTTCTGCTTGTACCAAATTTTCATCAAAATGTTGGGTAGGCCAATCAGATGTAAGGTCTCTGTGGCACGCTTTAATGATGAAACTGGGGTGGTTCCTGGCAAGATGATGAACAAGATATCCTGATGTACTGCAATGGTGCTACATCGAGGGGACGACATGCTTTTTAATACACTGACCTCTCACCAGAAACAAAGGGAACTTTCCAATGATAATAAGCAAAAGAATAACATACAAACATGCATAGTAAGCTAAAACCAGGATCGAGAAAGGAAAGAAAACTGTAAATTTGGAAGATAAATGCCAATGCCAGTCACAAATGCAGGGACTGGAAGCTAAAGTCACCCTGCTGCTGGAGCCCATTCCCTCATTAAGAAGGTTAAAGCTGTCTCCTATTGGTGGTACACATGACTCTAGGAATAAGTAAATGCAAATCCATTTTGGACAAGGGTGTCATTAATTCAGGTTTACAGGATTCTCACAGATTATGTAAAACTAAAAAAAAAAAAAATCATAATAAAAAATTACCAAACAAGACATAATGATTATATCACTTAGAACTAAATGTAACATCACATGGCAAAAAACCCCAAATAATGGTGGCTGAAACATGTGTTTATTTGTTTTCATATTAAACAAACCAAGAAGTAGGTATTCAGGGAAGGTTTATCACAAATTCATCAGGGACCTGTTTTCTTATGGTTCATGAACCCTCTGAGATCTTGGTTATGATCATTATTCTTGTGATCCCAGGTGGCTGCTGGAGCTCCAGCTATCCACATTCCAGACCATTATGGAAGGAAGGACAAGAAAAGCATAACTATTCTCTTTAAAAACATATTTTGGAAGTTGTACATAGCACTTCCACTTAGAACTTATTGGCAAAATTCTAATCCCAAAGGTCACATCTGGATGTCAAAACAAAAACTAGGGAGTTTAAACTGGCTGGCAATAAGTATGGCTAAAAATTAGTATTTTCATTCCTAGGAAGGAATGGAAGAATGGATACTTACTGACCACTAGCAGTCTTTGACATAATGAGTATATAGTAGGCTGAAAAATGGGCCCCCAAAATATCCCAGACCCAATCCCTGGATCCTCTGAACATTACCATGAAAAAGGGGACTTTGCAGCTAGAAACTAAGATTAAGATTGAGATGGGGCAATTATCCTGGATTATCCAAGTAGACCTTAGATGCAATCACAAGTATCCTTATAAGAGGAAAGAAGGAGATTTGACTACAGAAGTAGGACATGTCATGATGGAAGCAAGAGGCTGGAGTGATGCAAGGCAGGGGTCCCAAGCCAGCGAATGAGGGCAGCCTCCAGAAGCTAGAAAAGAGAAGGAAATCGATTCTGCCCTAGAGCATCCAGAAAAAAGCAGCCCTTTCAATACCTTGGCTTTAACCAAGTGATTTTGGACTTCTGGCTTCCAGAAATGTCAGAGAATGAACTTGCACTGTTTTAAATCACTAGTTTTGTGATCATTTGTTATAGCAGTTATAGAAAACTAATAAAAAGAGTCAGAAGAAACAAAAACCAAATATAGTGCTCCTTCAAGAGTTCAGATGTTGTAATGATCAGATACTGTAAACACTTTATTTTTAATTTTTATTTATTTTTATTTGAGAGTGAGAGAGGCAAAGGGAGGGGGAGGAGAGAGGGGGGAGAGGGAGGCAAGGAGGGAGGGAGGGAGGGAGGGAGGGAGGGAGAGAGAGAGAGAGAGAGAGAGAGAGAGAAAATCCTAAGCAGGCTCCACCCTCACCATGGAGCCCAACATGGGGCCCAATCCCATGACCCTGAGATCATGACCTGAGCTGAAGTCAAGAGTTGGATGCTAACCCAACTGAGGCAGCTAGGTGCCTCTGGAAACACTTAAAAGAAAGTTCAAATATAATTTAAAGATAAAAAATTTTCATGTTAAAAATGTGTGTGGAAGAGACTATCAACAATGACCTAGAAATCAGAAATGGAATCCATTTCAGAAATGAAAAATTATAATCTTTTTATGAATAACAAATGGATGGGTTAAACAGAAGATTAAAAATGGCTGAAAAAAGAATTGATAAGCTATAGAAAAGAGCTGAGGAAATTATCTGTAAAACTGTGCAGAGACATGGGGAGATGAGAAGGATGACATATAAGTTAAACAGTATGGAAGATAGAAAGGGCAAGAGAGGAGAGACAATGTTTGAGGTGATAAAATATGATGAAAGCCATGAATCCACAGTTACAGGAAGACCAACACATAGCAGGCAGAATAAAAAAAAAATCGACACCTACACACATTTTTGTATGATTCCACAAAATGCCAAAGATCTTAAAAACAGCTGGAGAAAAAGGATCACCTATAAAGGAAAGGCAAGTGGGGTGACAGTCGACTTCTCAGTAACAACAAGGGAAAACAGACCAATAGAATATCTTCCAGCTCATTAACATACTGTCAAAATGAGACTGTAGTTCAGGAAAGGTATTTTTTTAAAAACAAGAGCTAAATAAAGATATCTTCAGAGTACAAAGAATGAGAGAATTTACAATGAATGGTTCTTAACTAAATGAATTTCTAAAGGATATCATTCAGGAAGAAGAAAAATTATCTCAGTAGGAAAGTCAGAAATATAAGCAGGAATGATAAGCAAAAATACCTGGCAAACATGAAGGCTAAACTGAGGTAAATGTGAACAAACAGTATCTGGATATGATTAATAATATAATACAAATATAATAATATAATGATATACAAATACAAGTTGAAATCAAATAAGATACTACCCACCCACTATCTTAGCAAACACGAATAAGCCTGACAATACCTAGTGTTGGTGAGAATGTGGAACAAGGACTCCTACATATGGCTGAAGAGTGTAGACTGGTGCAAACACTTCGGAAAATAATTTGACTCTGCAACACCCTAGAGAAATTCTTGCACATATGGACTTGATGACAAGTTCAAAAATGTTCATAATAGCATTGTCTGCAACAGCAGAAACTGGAGACAATCCAAATGCCCTTCAATGGAGAATGTACAAATAAACTGTGGTCTATTTTCACAAATGGAGCCCAGCAGTGAAAACGATGACAGCACAGTCAACTGACACAATAGGGATGAATTTTAGAAACATGTTGAATTAAAGAAAAATTTTTTTACATTTATTTATTTTTGAGAGACAGAGTGTAAGCAGAGGAAGAGCAGAGAGAAAAGGAGACACAGAATCTGAAGCAGGCTCCAGGCTCCAGCACAGAACCTGACGCGGGGCTCAAACCCATGAACTGTGAGATCATGACCTGAGCCGAAGTCAGACACTCAACTGACTGAGCCACCCAGGGGCCCCTAGAAATATAATGTTGAATTTTAAAAAACGTAAGTCGTGAGAGATTATGTATAATATGATTCTACTTTTTAAAAGCTCAAAATCCACACTAAAACTATAATTTTAAGGATATCTACCTATGTGGTAAAGGCTATTTTACATGCCTAGAGGGTGATAAACACAAAATGGTGATTTCTTCAGGGAGTTAGGCTGGAGATGGAATGAATAGGAGCAAGTAAGTCACTTCAAAGATATTGGTAGTGATGGAGCTTTAAAGTTGCATGGTGGCTTATGTTATTATTATGCTTTGTAACATACATGCCTTATTTATACACTTTATGCATCAATTATTACACAACAAAATAAAAATATAGTGAGGGTCTGGCTCAAAGCCAGATTGCCTGGGTTTCAGGCCTGGTGCTACTACTTAACTGGTTGTGTGACTTTAGGTAAATCCCTTAACCCCTTAAATCCCAGGATTCTCACCCTTAAAATAAGGACAATGATAGTTCCTATCATCCAGAGTTGTTATGAGATTTGTATAAGATAATGCTTGTAGAGCACTTACTAAGTGCTCAGTAAATGTAAGGAGCAGTTATTGTGATTACTCTTATTTTGGTCACTGTGTGCAATTGAGCTCTGCCAGTGTGCAATCCAGTCAGCTTCACCTCTACTTCCCCAGTACATCTCCTTTTTCATGCCCAAATCCTTACCCTCTCCTCCCTACTCCCACATACAAATATGAGCATGGGCAGCATCTAGAACTTGTCTGACAGAGCATTTAAAAGCACACATATGGATGCCAAGAAGGGAATCCTAAGCATGAAGAGACAGAATATTCTTTGTGTTAAGGCCCAGCAGATGTGGCTTTTGCTTCAGAATGTGTTTGGATGGTTCTGTTTGGCTCTTTATAAAACTCTGAATGACTAATGTATAAGTGATGCATCCTTAGGGTTGCAACCAGGACATTCAACTCTGACTAAATAAAACAAAAAGGCATCCCTTTAGGGAGATTTGGATGCTGATAGGATCTGAATGGGCTGTGGAAAATGCTTCCAGAAGTGGGATCCCTGAGGAATAATGAAGGCACAGTTGATCAGGGCAGTCTGACAAACCCTGCTAGAATCCTGGCAGCAAAAGTCTTGAGCTGAAAGTTCTGTTTCATTGTGCCTTAGGGAATGGAGAAAAATAAGTACAAACTCACCCTTTCCCTCCACTTTCTTCTTTTTTTAGCTCTCGTGTAGCACAGGCCGCTTGCATCTGGCTCAGGAACTAGGCATTTTGCAACCTGTTTTGGAGTGGTTCCCTTTGTGTTCTCTGGAATTGCAGCTGGTTTCCTTGGCTGGAAACAAAGATGGAAAGAGAAGCTCATATCTAGCTGCCTTCACTCTCCTCCAATCCCCTAACTCAGTAAATACAATCCATGGCGTGATGCCTAATGTAGGCCTTCTGTCCATGCCTGCTGGCTCCCAATTCTTTCTCAGACTTTTGTCTTCTTTGGCTACTGCCACTGTTTCATGCAATGGGTTGGTCTGCATCCCACTAAAAGATGTGCTGAAGTCTGTATTCGTCAGGGTTCTCTAGAGAAAAAAAAAATCAACAGGAAGTAATAGAGATATATAGGAAGAGATTTATTGTGAGGGACTGGCTCACATGATTATGGAGAATGAGAAGTCCTGTGATCTGCAGTTGGCATGCTGGAGGCCCATAAAAGCCCATGGTATAGTTCCAGTCCTAACATGAAGGCTTGAGAACCATGAGCATCAGTGTCACTGGACAGGAGAAGATGGATGTACCAGTTCAAGCACAGAGAGCAAATCTGCACTTCCTCTATATTTTGGTCTAGTCAGACCCTCAACAGGCTTGATGCCTACCCATAATGGGGAAGGCAATCTCCTCTACTCAGCCCACTTATTCAAATATTAATCTCATCCAGAAATACCCTCACAGACATGCCTAGAAATAATGTTTAACCAAATATCTGTATATGCATCCTATGGCGCAGTCAAATTGACATGTAAAATTAACTATACTCTGCCTCCCTGAAGCCTTACAACCTAGAAGTTAACTCAATCATTAACCCTATTTTGTAGAAGAGGAAACAAAGGTTAAGGGTTTAAGTAGCTTGTCTGAGGTGACCCAGCTATAAAGCAGTAGAGCCAAGATTCAAGCCAGCATATCTGGCTTCAGAGTTGGTGTTCTTGGCCCACTCAGTTGAGGCCCATCAAAGGTGAGGGACTGCAGTTGACCCACAGAATCTGTCTTAGTTGGCAGCTGTGCAATAGCCTTCATGGCCTCTCTGTTATGGTCCTTTTCTCAAACTTTGGCATATATAAGAATCATTTGGAAGAGAGGCTCAGCCACTCATGCAAATTTCTATCCTCCCAGAAAGTCCCTTCTAGTAGGTCTGGGATGGGGCCCAGGAGTCTGCATTTCGAACCATGTAGCTCTATAGGATATCTGTCCAGTCAGGAATTACAGGATAAACTTACCTTTTTTTTTTTTTTTTTAAAGTAGGCTTCAACTTGGGGCTTGAACTCACAACCCTGAGATCAAGACCTGAGCTGAGATCAAGAATTGGATGCTTAACCAACTGAGCCATTCAGGCAGCCCAGGATAAGCTTACTTTTAGACAGCATGTTACTTACCTTTTCAAATAATAAGCTGATGTGGTTTTAGGTGAAATAACCTTTCAATTAAAGCAAAGGATCAAACTGTTAATCTGAACAAAATATAATACATACATTCCAGGAAGTCCAAAGGCTGTTCAAAAGGTCTGAGAAACAGGTGGAAAATGGAGTATTGTATCTTTTTCAAATTAAAAATTGGACTCATTGCTTTAAATTTAGAAATATTTCACTTGAAAACACAACTGAGCGTATTTTTTGAAAAGGGAACATCTGTTTACAAGTTTATCTTATCACTACCAATTTCTGAATATATTGCATTTTGTGTGGTCTCAGACCACATCTTTTGAAAAATGTATTTATTTCCATGCCCCTATGGTCCTATCTACAGGCAGAAAGAACCACACTCTACAGGTGTGAGGCTGCTCCACACCTAGGGCCATTGTAACATGGATCGGGGAGGATACTTTCAACGAGGTAAGTGTTGTTCACCGTGTTGCAAACAGAATTAAGAGCCTCTCTATTACTCTTTCCGTAGGAGGAGATTGCATTAATGTCCTGTCCAGATTACATTTCTCCTGGGCTGGTGACTAGGACATTTCTTTGTCCAGATAATTGGTAGTTATATACTGCTCTTCTTGTTTAACCTCACTTGCTCTACCTACTTCTTCCTTCTTCCCACTGACAAACCTAGCCTTTATTGACAGATATAGTTTTCTGAAAAAAATTCCCAGGCTGGATACTAGGTTGGTGACAACAGAGTTCCAGCCCAGCCCTCTCTTCCCACTAATTCTCTTCCCCTACCCCCAACCCCCACCATCATGCTCCTTCCAAAGAAAAGTATCAATGCAGTTGGAAAATCTTAAACCAATTAGATTTTAAACCAATTAGTTATTAAATTGGGTCTCTTAAACCTTAATGAGGGTAGCTGTAAGTTTTAACATTTTACTTCAAGCCTATATATGATTTATTTCATACCTACTAAGTGTCAGACTGTACAGGGCATCAACGTGAATAATCATATTTGGTCATTACAACTGACCTGCAAGGCCGACAACTGTGTTCAATTGTTTGGAAGCTTTTGTTCTAAACTATTTTGTTCTTTTTTTTTTTAATTTTTATTTATTTTTGAGAGAGAGAGAGAAACAGAGAGAGCTTGAGACAGGGAGAGGGAGAATCTCAAGCAGGCTCCACACCCAGTGAAGAGCCCGACATGGAGCCTGATGTGTGGCTTGATCCCACAACCCTGGGATCATGACCTGAGCTGAAATCAAGAGTCAGACACTTAACCGACTGAGCCACCCAGGCGCCCCTAAATAATTTTGTTCTTAATCTCATTTAGGGGCGCCTGGGTGGCTTGGTCGGTCGAGCATCCGACTTCGGCTCAGGTCATGATCTCACGGTCCATGAGTTCGAGCCCCGCATCGGGCTCTGTGCTGACAGCTCAGAGCCTGGAGCCTGTTTCAGATTCTGTGTCTCCCTCTCTCTCTGCTCCTCCCCTGTTCATGCTCTGTCTCTCTCTGTCTCAAAAATAAATAAACGTTAAAAAAAAAATCTCATTTAAAAAGTAGTAATTTAAAGGGGCGCCTGGGTGACTCAGTCGGTTAAGTGTCTGACTTTGGCTCAGGTCATGACCTCACAGCTTGTGGGTTGGAGCCCTGTGTCAAGCTCTGTGCTGACAGCTCAGAGCCTGGAGTCTGCTTCGGATTCTGTGTCTCCCTCTTTCTCTGCCTTTCCCCCATTTGCACTCTGTCTCTCTCTCTCCCTCAAATAAACATTAAAGTTTTTTTTTAAAGTAATACTTTAATTTTATATAGATAATATATGCACAAAATCTAAAGGCAATTGAAAAAGCCAATCCAAAATGAGATGTAGTATAAGTGCAAACTGCACACTGGATCTTGAAGGCTTAATATGAAAAAAAAGAATGTAATATGTCTCATTAATAAGTTTTTTTAAAGTTTATTTTGAGAGAGAGAGAGAGAGAGAGAGCACACATGAGTGCAGGGGAGGAGACAGAGAAGAAGAGAGAGATTCCCAAGCACTCTTTGTGCTGTCAGCACAGAGCCTGATGAGGGGCTCGATCTCATGAACCATGAGATCATAACCTGAGCTGAAATCCACAATCAGACGCTTAACTGAGCCATGCAGGCACCCCTCATTAATAAGTTTTTATACTGATTAAATGTTGAAATGATAATATTTTGGATATATTGGGGCTAAGTAAAATCTTCTGTTAAAATTAAATTCACCTGTTTCTTTTTTCTTTTAATTTTTAATGTTTGTTTTTGAGAGAGAGACACACACAGAGCACGAGTCGAGGAGGGGCAGGGAGAGCGAGTGAGACACAGAATTCGAAGCAGGCTTCAGGCTCCAAGCTGTCAGCACAGAGCCAGAAGTGGAGCTTGAACCCACAAACCCAGAGATCATTACCTGAGCCAAAGTTGGATGCTTAACCGACTGAGCCACCCCGGAACCCTGTGTTTCTTTTTTTAAAAAAATGTGACTACCAGAAAAATTTAAATTACATGTGTGACTTGCGTTGTATTTCTACTGGACAGAGCAGTGCTGAAATAGGAAGAAGAAACCACCCCTTTGCAGACTCAAAGGGAAGACTTAAGTGGAGGCAATGGTGCATGACAGGTGACATAGAACAAGCTCTGGTAAATAACAGGGAGGGGATCAATTAATATTCTCTATTTAACATTTAGTTCCTGTTAAGGATGTAAAAGTTGACATTGAGACCATGGCTTGTCTTCTACCTTCAATCAGGTATTCTGCTTTCACAACAATGGCACTTAGTGTTCAAATCTATCAGAACTCCTCAGCGAGCCTCCACCCCCAATCTGAGCATTGTATGCCGCCTCCAGAGACTCAGTCCTCAGTCACAATCTTGAGGGATTTAAGACTACTTCATTTCATTCCCAGAGCCCTTTTCCTTTTATGAAAACCTGGCCCACTGACACTATGAGTCCTTATTTAGAAAACAAGCATACAGGCATATCTTTTAAGATAAGGAAATCTAAGCCTTCCATATATAAATGTTTAGCTGGTTTACAGTGAGCCTAAAGCTGAAATCAATATAAATGGTGTCTTGGATAGAATTCCTTAGAAGCAGAGCTTGACACAGGGACTTGGGTACACATGATTTACTAAGGCAGTGCTCTTTAGATAGGTAGGTAGGTAGGTAGATAATTAGAGGCAGGAAGACAAGGAAGCAGGATAAGGAAGGGGAGAGATCTGAGCATGAGCATTGCCTAGGTGAAATCTAACCTTGGCCTGATCCATGGTGGGTAGTCTCTGGAGCCATGCTGTCCAATAAAAGTTACTGCTATGTTGGGAATGTTCTATGTAATTGGCACTGCCCAGTATAGTTACCACTAGCTACATATAGCCATCGAGCATTTGAAATGTGGCTAGCATAACTGACAAACTTAATTTTTAATTTAATTTAATTTAAAGAGCTACATACTGCTAATGTCTACTGCATTTGGACAACGTAGTGCTGGAGTATAAGCCTCAAGACAGAACAGGGAGGAGGAGGCTGGCCCCTTGTGCTCTCATTGGCTGTGGGCTGCCCTAGCCTTGGTGGGAGGGTAGATGGGGCATAATTTCCCAGGCAAGGCTGTTAGCAGGGGACATTCACACTGCTGATGAGTGGGTATACTGGCCAAGTAAAGGTGATGAGGTGCACCCCAATGCCCACTACATGTTAGTTCTCAACTAGATCTCCTGACATCTTATTTTCATCCCTCCTCATGGATTCTCCAAGAACTGAATTGTAGCCATAGAATAACCTGAAGCCAACAGCTGGCCATGTGCTTCATGCAGAACAAATCTCCTAATCCCCAGAGCTGTGGGTTCCTCTCCACTCCATTCTCAAATCTTCCCTGGCAATTCTACTGGTTTGCTGGTCCCAGGAAGAGGGTCATCATATTTTGCATAGGTATGCAGAAGGAATTTTTCTGTGGGCTTCTGATTATTAGCTTTTTCAGCCATAGAGAGGAACTCTATTTGATTTTACAATATCTACTACAATCTTTGAGATGGCTAACCCAACAGCTCTAAAAAAAAAGAGAAAAAACAAAACCAACTTTGCCCTTTTCCATGCTGAAGTGTCATAGATCTGAAGTTATAAATGAGGAAACCTGAGTTCATGTTTTATTTATACCTATTACATTTAATTTATGGTGTTGGAAAACATATTCATCTTAATTTATGCAGGAATTAACTTTGGTAGAGATTAATTTTGAATCTATGGCCCCTTCCTAAAGTATATAATCTCTTTTCATAATCTTGGCTTGCAGACAGAGATGGTAGTGAGTGGGGGGGAAAAAAGAAAGAAAAACAAAACCATAAACAAAACCAAAAAACTTTAAAGGGGAAATACTTTAGGTCCTTAAAATGAGAATAACATGTTTTAGAATTAGGATACCTTCAGAATTCACAGAATTTAGAATTTATATAATGGTTCTTTCTATTGAGTTCAGACATCCAGTAGGTTTTAGATGAAAATACATAAAACAGAAGAAAATAAAAAATAGGACCTTGGCACATATTAATACTTAAGAATTTAAGAATTCTGAAATATTTAATCAGTATTACACACGTTATCTATGCTACATCTTTATAGATTACCAGGTAAGTGTGTGTGTATGTGTGTTAGGAGAGGAAAGGGATGGGAAGGAGTGGGAGATCACTGTGTCAAAAAATCAAAGGAAGGTGCCTAGCTGGCTCAGTCAGTAGAGCATATGACTCTTGATCTCAAGGTCATGAGTTCAAGCACCACGCTGGGCATAGAGCTTATTAAAAAAACAAAAACAACAACTTAAAAAATCAAAGGGAAGCACAAAATACAGCTTCAAGTCTCTGGACAGTCAAGGAAAAAAGGGAACAATAGATATCATGCCTAATACAAGAAAGTATATTAGTTTGCCAAGAGGAACTAATTTTGGTTTTGTTTCAGAAAGTTGTCTATCTAAATAAAGAAAGCTGTTCTTTATTAAAAACTACAACAACAACAAAAAACAAAAAAAGAAAACTAGGGGCGCCTGGGTGGCTCAGTTGGTTGAACATCCTACTTTGGCTCAGGTCATGATCTCTCAGATCTAGTCACACCTGCTTCTTCCTGTTTAAGCCTCAGGAAGTCAGTGCCACTAGGTGGATAGAGAAGGAAATAAAGTGAGTTGTCTCCCACCTTTCCCAAGGCAGATGACACCCTCTTTCCACAGCCATTATGGTCTCCACCGCTGTTATGGTTTCCTTTCCTGAGCCCCTGGCACTGTCTTCACCCCAGGAGCCAGCTGGCACCCAGAACTACAGGCCACCTCTGGTGATGGGACAGGTGTGCCAAAGGAGGGCATCTGGGGAGAGGGTACCAAAAAGCACTCCCTCAATAATGGGGTCTTGTCTGTTAATTTTTACTTGAAAAAAGGCAGGGGCATTCTATCTATCTATGTGTTTTACTGGACAAAAGAAGAGAGTATATATAATATTAAGTCATCGTTCTGTAGATTACCTGACCAAGCGAGTGATTCTGGTCTGCTTCTTGACTGTGTCGTTGGCAGTTGCATGTTTAGTTCTGAAAGGGAGAACAAATCTCTGTCCTTCACCAGCACTGCACAAAAAGCAATGCAGGAAGCTTAGTCAAGTGCGCAAATCTCTACTATCAACTTTTCTGCCACATATGGGGGAATTACTGGCCCTTGAAAGCTATCACAAACAGATAAGAAGCAAGGTTATAACATGATTTGACACGGAGTTTTGACGGGCTCCACTCAGAAATGTGGAAAGTGCGGCTTTAAAGGCACCATTTCAGGAGATTAAGATTTGAAATTGTGTTGCTTTATCTTGCTGTTTTCTTTCCACAGCCTTTTCCTTAGGCCTTGCGGTGGAGTTCTTTTTTTTCTTCCTTTCTTTCCCTAGTGTACATATGAAGGTTTGCAACGCTTCACGCTTGAAGACTTGAAGAAAACTGAGTAAATTTAATATGACCGACTTCATAGTCACTGGCTCCACATGCATTTGCTTGCTGTGAAGAGAAAAGCATGTGAGGAAAATATATTGCCACTGAAGGAACGGATCTGTCTCAAGTATAATTGCTCATTTTTATCCATCCCTTGTGTCTTACCAGAGAAGATTACTAAAGAGGCTAGACCTGCAGCACAAAGCCCTCTCAGCCAGATCTTCAGGATGGGCCACATCTCTTAGGCCTCCTTGTTCTCCATCCCAGGCACACCAGCAAGAGCTCAGCAAACACCAATTCCCCGGGTCCCTTCTCAATTCTCTGACATTCCTTGAGCTTTTTAAAATGCTTGAGTCCCTGAGCTCTTGGCAGCTGAAACAAAACCTGAAAGAAATCCACTAAGCTCCACAGTGTGTTAAACCCCTCCACCAGCAAGAGGCGAAACCCTTCTGTTTCCAGCCATGTGGATGCTGGAGCCACTGAGCTCAGATTACTGGGTTAATGGTCTTGGAGAAATTGAGCCCAAACTCTACATCCAGAAAAGAAAAGCAGATTGAGTCCTCAGCCCAGAGCTGCTTCTATTTCCTGAAAAGAAATGAGGAAGCAATCACTCATATCAGACTTTCTAGAACAATCCTGTTTGAGCTTTCCTACAAATTTTGTGGGCTATAAAAGAGCTTCTGTCCTTATTAGAGCACATGCTCTAACTGTGGCTGGGGGTGGGAGATGGAGAGGTTGGGAAAATGTAGATCTAGCAGCTAACGGAAACTGAAGGTGGAGAACTGCTCCTATTGTTTCTGGGGGCCCACTGCAACTATTAGGGCAATGTGTTATGAGGAAGAGCTGTGGACCAGAACTGCAGTTGAAACTGGCTTATCTGTTTAGCACATTCTCAGTCTTGTCAATTAAACAGAAACCGGGGCTCTGACAAGTGTGGGGAAGGAAGAAGAATGACAAGGCATGGAGCTGGGAGCACTAGTAAAGGCTTAAAGCCTCTGGCAGCATCACATAGGTTGTGATGTACAGGCAGAGACTTTCCAAATGGCCCTGGGGACCTGGGATAGAGGTTAAGAGGGAAAGGGAGACTCAACAAAAGGAAAGTCTGGGACAAACTCTGCCTATTCCATTGTTTTGCTTAAGTCAGCCTTAGTTGATTTAGTTCTACATAATGAAATAAAAATGTTACCAGGAATAAAGAATCACCTAAGATACTGATCTCAATGATGTGACACATTGCCAGGGCCTTTGGTCAGGTCTGGTATGGTTTTAACAATATGGCCCTAGTCTGTCTTTCTCAGTACATCTTTTTTTCTACCTTCCCATCAATCCAATCCCTTGCTCTTGTCCTTACCAACTCTTCCCCTTTCCCAGGCAGACCATGCACTTACACAGCTGTGCTGAGAGTATTCTCACTGCCTGGCAGAAGTCCTCCCTCTACTGTCTAAAGAAGTTAATTATCTGTTCTTCACGTTCCCTGTCAAGTTCCTTCTATAATGACTTTCCTAGCTCCCCAGACAAAACTAATCTTGTCCTTCTTTGAATTTCCATTTTTATGCTCTCTACCATATGTTGGATTATGATGATTTTTTCATTCGTTTTGCTCTGCTGGATCATGTATGCTTTAAGTGGAGGGGTAGGGGAAATCAAAGTTAAGTTTAGTTACCTTGTCCTGCATTAAACTAAATGAAAAGTCTGAGATATGTTAAATATTGTCTTAGTATTTGGTAGATGTTTATAAAAGGAGGAAGTAAATAGAGGTAGAGAAAGCTCTTTGTTTTCAGTGTTGCATACTGGCATACATACACACACATGAATATAAATATATAGAAGTACTATGTAACATATACCATGCTAGGCAATTTTACATGGATGTTTTTATTTAAGCCTCACAAGGGTCTGTCGTAAAGGTGAGGAAATAGAAATGATTAAGGATTTAAGTAATTTGCCCAAGGTCACGTAGCTAGTAATAGAGCGTAAATTCAGATTCAGATAATCCGACTCCAGAGCCCAAGATTTCATCTGTTACTATTAGTTACCACCTTATATCAGATCTATAATGGATAGCTGTTATTTTCTTGGCTGCCTGCCTGCCACCTTAAAAGCTGAAATGTTCAGACATTGTCCCAACCTCCTTTGCAGCTAGGATGCAGGCACTTGACCCAGGCTTGACAAAACAGATGCACCTGCTGGTGACTTTGAACTGGGAGCTGGTGACATAAAGAGACAGAGACAGTGGAGAATCCAGAGGCATCGAAATGGTGGTAGCAGGAGGAGTGCCATCCAAATCCAGTGTCTGTGGCTACTGGGTGACCTGCAGCATCTGTTTGTTGTTCAGTGGTAGGGGCGGTGGTGGTGGATTCCTCACCACATTGGTTAAGTGGTGTGCTCTTGGCTGGGATCCAGTTGCTGCCTAGCTCCCTTGTTTGGTCTCCTTTTCTAGCCTGGTTCAAATCTTTTTGGAATGTCCTTGAATTATTTAATAACTCAGTAACAAATATATATAATCTTTTTTCCCCTTTTTTTCCCCACTAAGTCAGCCAGAGTTAGTTTCTGTTGCTTGTAGCCAAGACACTTAGCTGGTATAATATCCAAATCCATTGTCTTGCATATAGGTTCCTATATTCCTACCTGGAAAAAAAAATCCCACATGTGTCCAGAATTTTATGAAAGTTCAACTGAGTAGAGGATGAAGGTGGCAGATTGTGTATCATTGGGAAGAATGATTTCTAGCTCATCTATCTGACTACCTATTTATGATTCATACTGCAGTTTGCATGGATGAATTGCATGGGGAATTTTCAGTATGTTGCTACTATACTAGAATCCAGAAATGGATTTTTACCTTCCAAGTAAATTTGATGTCCAGGTCTAACTCTGATTTCCAGGTCTAATTCTAAAACATTTGTAATGAATTTAGCTTTTGAATAATAATAAGAAAAAATACTAAATATCTTTCCTGCTCATTACATGCAAAATGGCTTCCCCAAACTGTAGTACTTATGAAACTAAGATCACAGAGGAAGTTGAATTGCTGAATTATTTAATATAATCTGACTCATTAGAATCTTAGTTTCTGATATGGAAGAAGATATGATAGCTTACATAAAGATTATTGATAAATTCCAAAATGAAATTCACTTTGAAGAGAATGAAATGTGGCTGGGTGTAACTAATCTCTCTGTCCTAATTCAATGAGGGAGCTGAGTTTGCAGTTTGACAAAGGGGTTATAATTACAAGACATCTTGGAACTTCTGGAAGAAGCTACTGCTTCAGATTGGCAAGTGGCCCACTGAGATGTCAGATACTAGACACAAATAAACCTTACAGAGGCCAGAGGTTTGACCTTGGTAAGTCTAGACATACTAACATGATTATCATCACTCTAATCAGATTATAAAGTAAACACACACTCTACAAAGCAAAGAATCTCATGGAGTTATTTACAGGATGATGAAAAGCTGCTTTCTATCTTTACTGAGGACATAACAGGAAGATATGGGGTGGTTTTTAGCATGAGAGACTTTGGGATGATTAATGGTTTTGAACCAGGATTAATTTGGAGACATTTTTGGTGGAAAGGGAAGGGAGGCGTTACTGGCATCTAGTGGGTAGAAGCCAGGGATGCTGCTAAACATCCTATAATTCACAGGACAGTCCCCACAACAAAGAATTATCTGGCCCCAAAATGTCCAATAGTGCCAAGTTTGAGAAACCCTCAGTTAGACGTAAGAAAGAAATTTCTGAGTCTGAAATTATATAAATAGTGGAATGGGTTTACAGGTCCAGGACTAGTGTGAGGTGAATTAAGTAGTTGCCTTAGGGTACAAAATTTAAGTCCCAAAAAATATCAGTTATCAAGATAAATAATATTTAAAAAAAAAACAAAGTCAATGCAAAAAAAAAAAATCTATGATGAACAATATAACAAAATTTTAAATAAAGATAGGATTCAACAGGGAAGGGATTTGGGTATACAAAGTTGAAATATTATTTATCTTGACTACTGAGGCTTTGGCAACTCCTTCACCTGGCCCCTTTTAAGTTTGTGCCTGAGGCAAGTGCCTCACTCCCCTCATCCTAGTCCTGGCCTGTTGGATTATTAAGGGCATGCAATTGTTTTAGCTAACGGGTGATTTGATTTGTTTATAACTAAACTGGGGTTAGTAAGGTCTCATAAAGTTAAACAAGAAGGCCTTTCCAGGTCTAGAATTTTAGATCTTAGTGACTACATTAAGTAAGGAAGCAATTCATTTATTAAACCCCATAGAATTTCCCTAACATGGGTTTTTATTTTTTATTTTTTTTGACGTTTTTTATTTATTTTTGAGACAGGGAGAGACAGAGCATGAACAAGGGAGGGTCAGAGAGAGGGAGACACAGAATCTGAAACAGGCTCCAGGCTCTGAGCTGTCAGCACAGAGCCCGATGTGGGGCTCGAACTCACGGACCGCGAGATCATGACCTGAGCCGAAGTCGGCCGCCCAACCGACTGAGCCACCCAGGTGCCCCCCTAACATGGGTTTTTAATTTCTCTGATTTATAGCCTGGCCTTGATTAGCCAAGATCACCTTCATTATGAATAGTAATATATGAATGGCATCCCAAAGAAATATGTGGCATTAACTGTGGTCTTAAGCAATACTCATCTGTTGTAACTCACCCTTCCAGAAAAATAATCCTTGTATGACTTTTCCATTTTACTTAGCAAGTAAACTATTCCTGCTTCTTATCCTCTCTTCTCCCCAATCCCACTTCACCTCAAAATCAACTAAATATTCTTTTCTGGGCTCCATTGATTTTGACATTATTTTATATTACTTGTCCCTTTTGTCTCCTAGAATGCCCTAGATAGAATTTTTTAGGGGCCGGAGGAGAATATTTTAAATATTTTTCCTTCTAATTGGTTGGGGAAATATCTATAATTACTAAGCTTATGTATGTGGTATATAGAGTACTCACAACATAAGGCTGACCCCCTCAGAAATGTCAGATGAAAGATTCAAAGATAATTTACTATTCTGAGCAGGGCAAGATAGACAGTTATAAAAAATTACAGTAATATTACTAATTAGGAGAAATGTGGTCTTGGATCCATACCAGAACAAACACTCTAACCATTACAGACTGCTTACTATTAATCTCCCTGGTTTCCGTCTACGTGTGGCTAGCCTATTAGAGTACCTGTATTCAGCAAATGTACTCGTGCATAAAGTAACTGGATATGGGACCTACCACTTCCCCACATCCTGTCACTTAATCTAACTGACATATGTACAATTCCTTTTGATCTATGTTAACCATCTTTATCTCAATGCACATCTCAGCTTCCTATCTGTTATTTTACAAAATGCTTTAATCAGAGGGTAGCAACAAGTTGGGTTGAATTACAAGGTTTGGGTTTAGGATTTTTTTTTCCATTCTGTTAAAAACAAAGCAACATCAAACTTGGGCTCCTTCTTCCCAACCACGTAGTCATTGCTATTGTGATGAGCTATTTTGAGTTTATTTCTTGAAAAAAGAACAGAAAGAAAGAAGAGAAAAAGGACCTAAGGGACTAAGTGGTATATGGGTAGATGAAGAATAA